CATTGTACAATGTGTTATACAGTAGTTACGGAAGTTACAGTATGTGTTAGACAACAGGTGTGGGAGCTACATTGTACAATGTGTTATACAGTAGGTATGGAGGTTACAGTATGTGTTAGACAACAGGTGTGGGAGCTACATTGTACAATGTGTTATACAGTAGGTATGGAGGTTACAGTATGTGTTAGATAGCAGGTGTGATAGCTACACTGTATAGTGTGTTATACAGTAGGTATGGAGGTTACAGTATGTGTTAGACAGCAGGTGTGGGAGCTACATTGTATAGTGTGTTATACAGTAGGTATGGAGGTTACAGTATGTGTTAGATAGCAGGTGTGATAGCTACACTGTATAGTGTGTTATACAGTAGGTATGGAGGTTACAGTATGTGTTAGACAGCAGGTGTGTGAGCTATATTGTACAGTGTGATATATAGTAGGTATGGAGGTTACAGTATGTGTTAGACAGCAGGTGTGTGAGCTATATTGTACAATGTGTTATACAGTAGGTATGGAGGTTACAGTATGTGTTAGACAGCAAGTGTGGGAGCTATATTGTACAATGTGTTATACAGTAGGTATGGAGGTTACAGTATGTGTTAGACAGCAGGTGTGGGAGCTATATTGTACAGTGTGTTATACAGTAGGTATGGAGGTTACAGTATGTGTTAGACAGCAGGTGTGGGAGCTATATTGTACAGTGTGTTATACAGTAGGTATGGAGGTTACAGTATGTGTTAGACAACAGGTTTGGGAGCTATATTGTACAATGTGTTATACAGTAGGTATGGAGGTTACAGTATGTGTTAGACAGCAAGTGTGGGAGCTATATTGTACAATGTGTTATACAGTAGGTATGGAGGTTACAGTATGTGTTAGACAGCAGGTGTGTGAGCTATATTGTACAGTGTGTTATACAGTAGGTATGGAGGTTACAGTATGTGTTAGACAGCAGGTGTGGGAGCTATATTTTACAGTGTGTTATACAGTAGGTATGGAGGTTACAGTATGTGTTAGACAGCAGGTGTGTGAGCTATATTGTACAGTGTGTTATACAGTAGGTATGGAGGTTACAGTATGTGTTAGACAGCAGGTGTGGGAGCTATATTGTACAGTGTGTCAAGAGGTTCGGCCACTTTAGGATATTTAGGTTTGTCTTGAATCCCAAGCTAACAATGTAAAGTAATCCTTAGAGTAAAATATGTAAATAAAAAATATACTTTACAAAGACTTATCCAATAATGTTAATGAAACTAATGTTAAAGAAAGAATGGGATGACATTTTCTAAAGAGACATACAAAAATACATTGATTCATATTGATTATACAGGCCTACGATTATTTTATTGTACATGAATTTGTAAGTCAGTTTTTATTTTTCTATCACAGTTGTCAAATGAAAGTATTAGAAACGTTTAACCCTAAGGTGTATATGTTACATGTAAATAGTGGAATTAATTACACAGGCCTGCAATGGTTTTATCGTCTTGAAGTTTTTACGTGTTATACAGTAATTCCTGTACGATGAATCCGAAAATGATATCAATTTTTCTCCAACACGTACAGATTTTTCACAAAACGTCATAACGCAATACATAAAAGAAAGACCATAACACGTAGTTTTGAGACTAAAAAACTTAGATTTCACAAAAAAACAGGATGAACGAGGATGCATATTCGTTTCACATCAATGTTCTTCCCTTTTATTTAGTTTGTTTGTATTTTTTATTAACACAACAATAAAAAATGTTCATTGTGGTAAACGAAATAATAATTTGATCTAAGTAAGTTTTTCTTCCTAATTTGTAAAAATTCCTTATGTGATAAAAAAAATGAATATTATTTTCGAAACCTGCGTAGCTGAATTATGGACAATTCGTTATTAAAACCAAAACAACTTTTATGAAGTTTAAATTCGCAAGCCTGTGTAATAGTTACAGCAGTCAATAACAATTTGTGATTCTTGGTGGAGTTAAGTGAACATTAACGTTTTTCGTATTAATAAAATAATCAAGATAATATGTCAGCAAGATAAGAAATATCTTTATTTAACATAAATACTTACGCAAACACTTTAGATAATTTCGTTTTGATTCTTGGCTTCTTTTCTTTGGATTCCCAGACATCGACCATCCCTGCAAGAATCGGGGGTTTGTTTTAGTTAACAAACCATTTTTTTTTTTTTCTGTTTACTTGGCCCCTCAGTGGCACAGCGGTATGTCTGCGGACTTATAACGCTAGAAACTGGGTTTCGATACCCTTGGTGGGACAGCACAGATAGACCATCGTGTAGCTTTGTGCTTAATTATAAAACAA